TATTTTACACCTTAATCTAATCCTTTATTCTCCACTTCATAGCATATAAGTAATGATCAGAGGAATTTTCATTGAAGAATCTTTTGGTCAGAACAGAAATCAGCGAAAAAAATCGAACCTTCTTACTTATTTTTTGTCAAAAACATAAGAATTTTAGAAAAAAAGGCATAATAAAGCTGCCTGAGAGATAAAAGAAGGTATTAAAGCAAAAAGGTTCTTATATAACCAAATAAATAATATTTTGAATGGTAAATATTGTGTATTTATTTGGTATTAGAAAAAAAAGAAAAAACTTTTGGGACAATCTAATATTTGTACTATGTATGAAAATGTGTTAGGAGCCAACTATCTATAACGATTGATACACTAGGGATCATCTTTCCGACCTAAGTCGCAGATTACGACGACAGCTTCGCCTAAAAGAATTCACGAGGTCCCACAAGCAGGAATAAGTGCTGATAACAGCAGWAGCAACCCAACGTCCACGTACAACCATGTAGCCAACAACGTACAACTCAACAGCATCGCGAACGACCAAGGTCATAGCTATTACTGTCTCTAGGAGTCGTTTATATTGKTGTGTAGTGCGAATGCCGGATTTATCAGAAGAGAAGAATAGAAATATGTAGATTGGAAAATCATATAAATTAGAAAGGAGAAGAAAAAATAATTTGTGACAGGAAAACGACATAATTGGATTTTATGTGCAYGATCATGGAAATATATGTATAACATAATAATGCTCATATATACTCATATATATGCATGTTCATRGACAATAATTATTTTTCATATAGTATATTTATTTTTAACGAAAATATATTGTTATATTATACGGATTTCTTTCTTTCTTTAGTTCCTTTTTTTTTCTTTTTTTGGTAGAAAATCTTTTAACGGGCATTGAATAAAAAAAAATCTTGCACGGTTCCTATATACAATTATTCTCTTTGGATACAAATAGTAAAAATCACGCGCAACGTTAAATATAACTTTTTTTAGGACCGTTACCAGACGAGGATATGATGGAAATGATCAGTGGGACAACAATTAATGAATCYCCAAATCCAGTACCCTCCGATGGAAATGACGAAGCAGCTATGGCTGTGATCATGAGCCTTTTGGAAGCTGATGCTGGTTTGGGTGGACCTGTTGATTTCACCGGATTACCTTGGCCTTTACCATAATGTGAACTACTTTAGTGATTTTTTTTTAATTTTATTTTATTACACTTTCTTTTTCCTTACCTCCATTGAAAATTAGTGAACACATTTGTATAAGAATCTTTCGTGAAAAAGTGTATATACTATATATGTATATAAATGACACTTCCATATGTACCTGTAATCGAAATTTTGACAAGAACATTTTTTTAAACACTCAAACATATACATATATATATACAGATGAATTATTCAATGAAACTTCCAAGTATTTCTATTAAATGGTACACATAGGTTAGTAAAAACTTGATAATGCTTGTTCTTTTGACGTATAGAATTTATATATGGTGCTAAAGTTGTGTTATGTGGAATATAAATCAGTKAATCATATGTGACATTTGATTGTCGACGTTTTATGAACATGTTCCTTAGCATTAATTGTTATGTTACAAACAAACAAAAAACAGAATAACACRATAGAGTATTTTGACATTTTATGTGCTTAAAATTAAATAATACTACATGGTAAAAAAATGAGAATAAATCTATCATTCATAATGTTTAGAAAGAAAATAGACTTTTGTGTGTAAGACCAAAATTTGATGTCTGTCAAATTAGGTTAATAGAAAATAATTTATTTAATATTAAATATGCGATATTGTGAAAAAATATCCTATAAGGAAAAATGTTGATGATGATGATGATGATGATGATGATGATGATGTCGATAAAAAAATCAAGTTTTTTAATATTTTACAAAAATTTGGCTAAAAATAATGATATAGACGCTCTAATTGTAAATAATATAAAAAAGGTATCTATTATTGTAACATGATGCTAAGTGTACCTAATTAATAATTAAGAATTTCAGCATCTATTTGAAGATATCTCTATCACACTATTGTGGAATTAACTATGGTGTTTAGAGTATTGCGGATGTCAATATTGTGCAATATWKGAATTCCTAATGATAAATTCYCTACACAAAACTGTAATGTTAATTTTTCAAATATGTGTTATGTAAGTATTTGTAACTTATGTGATTACATGTCCGARAAATTATTGAATTTTAAATATTTGACTATTTCRAACATATCCATTATATGTATTTWGATATATGGTTTCATTTTATAAATAATACTCCTAATACATACACACACACATTACGAATATAATTTATATTTCATTATTATTTCAATGAAATATGAAATATAGAAGAAGACTATATCTTACTCTTCGAGGGATTATATTTTTGTGTGCTTTTATTAACTGATATTATTAATAATTTTGTTTTTTGTTTTTTGTTCTAATTAAATGATCAGAAACGATCAAATTAAATTGAAAATTAAATTTAAAATAAAATCACACACACACACACACAGTAAAAAATTGTAAGGTCTCGTCCACAATTTTGGGGTTATTTTAAATATTAGGTCGAGTCACAAATAACCTCCGTTTTTTATTAGACAAAATATGGCGTTTCTGCGACATAAATGTGCAAGACACTTTTCATGGAGATTTTTTTTCGCATTATTTGTATCTGTTGAACGTATATATTAGATATCTTTCCAATATTACCTTTGAAAGGTTCGTCAATATCGAAAAGACATCTTGTACATGGGTTGTCATTTA